TCACAATTATACAATTAAATGGTCACATCTACATAATTATAAGTTACAACTTATTTATTGGTTACATATTATCAAATTTATTAGTTACAGATTATTTTGAAATCACAAATCAAAAATTTTATAGCTCACAATTTATTTCATTGGTCACAAACAAAAAAAAAAATTATAGGTTATAGTTTATCTATCAATCACATACTTTCAAATTTTTTGAGCACAAATTATCAAATTTTAAGGTCACAGTTTAATAGTTAGTTACAAAGAATTAAATCATTGATCACATATACTAAACACGCCACCGCCAATCCAAATTCGCCACCAATTCTTGGTCACAAATCAACCAGATAGTTGGTCACAATCACTATTACACCTCGCTCGCTCGCCCACAAAACCATCACGACCATCGCCAACAACAACAACAAAAAAAAGGGGGGGCCAACAAAACACAATCTTCGCCTGCACCACACCACCACACAATTGCCGACCACCATCTCATTGGCACCACCACCACCGCCGATTCCACTAACAACAAGAACCACCCAAATCCCCAACACAATGACCACCACCACTAACCCCAACACCACACCACCACTGCCAGAGCCACCCTTATCACATAACGACAATCGGTCAACACCATTGCACACCATCAGAGTCACCACCACATACAGTACCACACCACGTACTACACGCACACAACCATCGCATCTGCAGCATCGCCACTACACTACACTTCACACCTCTACCTCTACCTCCACCTCCATCGCACCACCACCGCACCTATAGCACCACAATAGAACATCACCGTTGCATAGCACACCTGACACCTCTACCATCACCGCACCTGACAGTCCACCACCGAACCGTCAATCACTACACCACTGATTTTTTTTTTTAAAAGGAAGAAAGATGGATTTGCAAATGCACAATGTGGATGAAATAACGCTGCAACTCGTGGTGCTTCGTGATAAATGTGTTTTTGCACACTTATTTAGGTCACAAACATGACTTAATAACAAGCAAAATAATTGAATTGTGACTTAATCTCGTACATTTGTGAATTGTAGGGAACAACGATGAACATGGTGAAATTCAGGAGAAAAACGTGAAAATGGACTAAAATGACGCAAAGTGAAAGTTCAGGGACCAAAGTGCAAATATCCAAAAGTTGATCCGATGAACAAATCGAGAAATCGATTAAGCCAATTACCAATTGACGATATCGTGAGATGATGAAATGAAAAGAATGAAGAGAAGATGCCAAAAAGTGAAGGATGCAAGTGGGAGGACCAAAACGCACATCTGCCATAGTTGATAGTACTATGCGACCGCATAGTACTATCCTCTATGCGGTCGCATAGTAGCATACCGAAATCAAAGAGGCTCCAAAAATTTACTCTATGTGACCGCATAGAGTTGCTCTATGCGGTCGTATGGAGCAATTCTCGAGGAAAAATTTAGTTTCTTTTTTCTTTCGAAACTCTTAAGGAAACAATAATTTTAGGGTCCTATAAATACAAAAACTCGACCAGAAGGTGGAGGACGTCGTTTTTACATGTTTTTGAAAGATTTTGAAGGAGAAACAAAGGATAGAACAAGAGAACAACATCGCGTCAAGTGAAGATCGGATTGAAGATTGATTCGGGTGATATCATTTCTTCAAATATTTTTATGTTTTATTCTTTTTAGCATGTTAGGCTAGATTTATCACTGTTTGGAGATCGACAAACCTTGTAATATCACGTTTAATTGTTGTTTTGGATTTTTGACGTATTTGAACACAAGTTCCGGATTTGATTAATTTATTGCGTTTTTATTTTCATATGATTATTGTGCACGTAATTATAGGATTGTGATGGCTTGTTTTATGCATTCGAAAGAAGAAAAATAGGTTCGACATAGTATAAATCATCATAGGGTCCGATAGGGGATATAAATATACCTCTATGCCTTGTGTGAATCATTAGATACTCGTGAAGTTATACTGCATGTCGGTATGTTAGTATTCGTCATAGAAATATAGTCGAATAATATATTGGGATAGGTTTGGCATTGCTCGAAAGAGATTGTTAAATTAAAATAGGAATATCAATTCATCTTTTGTGGAATTGTGTGTCAAAGTTGCATAATTGATAATTGAACGGGTATTGCTTGGGGATTCGTGATCCTAGTGCGTTAGTACATCTATTAATTCCATAAAATTCTAGTTAAATTGCATCCAAGTTATTTTGCACTTAGTATAATTCGTCATTCATAATTACATCAACGGTTACATTTTGTTAGTTAAAGTATAAAACCGCAATTTGGCTGTCGTGTTTCGGTTAAGGTCGTAATAGATTAATTTGAACTAATTCAATCCTTGTGTGATCGATACTTGGACTCATAGTCCATTTTACTACTTGTTAATGAACCGTACACTTGCGGTGGATTTTAAATCAGAAAAAATAATTTCACAAACAAGTTTTTGGCGCCGTTGCCGGGGATGGAAATTTAGTTTTAATTTTATCTTTTGTGACACTAATTCGAACTCATCTAAATTAGTAGTAGTTAGCTTACTAGGTTTAGTTTATTATTACTTCAATTTAATTTTGTATTGATTTTGCAATCTCAAGACTTGTATGCAAGGAGCACCTGATCAAGACTTGGTTCCCATAAATCCAGAGATCGAACGCACATTTCGTCACAGGCAAAGAGAAGCAAGAGCGGCACAACAAATGGCTAACGAGCAAAATCGACCGGTAATTCCACTCAATGAAGGCATGACAGTTGAAGATGACGGGAATACAGTACTTGGGGACTTCATGGCTCTGTTGGTGGTCCAAAGTCAATCTAGCATTGTGTATCCTCCATTTGGACAACCGAATTTCCAGCTGAAAACAAATGTAATTCAACTATTTCAGAATGGGCATCAATACCACGGGATGGCTAGTAAAAATTCGCATACATACATATCCCGATTTCTGGATATGTGCCAACACTTTAGGTATCAAGGTATCTCGAACGATGCTATAAGACTGCAGTTGTTTCCACACACATTGCGGGATAAAACACTTGAATGGCTGAATTCACTTCCCGTCGCAAGCATCACCACTTGGAACGAGCTAGCCCACAAATTTTGCACCAAGTTCTTCTTGCCAGGTAAGGTAGCCAAGATGCGGCATGATATCTCTATATTCAACCAGTGTGAGTCCGAATCATTTGAAGAGGCATGGAATCGTTTCAAAAATATGTTAAGGAAGTGCCCGCAACATGGCTTTGACAAGAAGACACAGATCCGATTTTTCTACACTGGACTACTTCCATCCTTCAAGAGCATGGTGGATTCATCATCTGACGGGTCTATCTCCACAAGAACAATTGACGGAGCATGGGAGCTATTTGAGAGAATGGCTACAACTTCAGCTATGTGGTCTACAGATCGAGTAGTTCAGAAGAGATCGTCGGGGGTTTATGAGGTAGATACTTATTCAGCACTGTCTGCAAAGATAGACTCTTTGTTCCATAAGGTTGAGAGCATTTCACAGACCGGCACTGCTAAACAAGTCAAGAAGCCACGTTGTGAAGAATGTGGAGCAGACCACAATACTGTTAATTGTCCAATTCTCGCACAGGGGGTCGAACATGCAGATTTTGTACAATGGGGTCAACGCCAACAGAACAACCCACATTCAGAAACCTTCAATCAAGGTTGGAGAAAACACCCAAACTTCTCGTGGAGTAATCAGAATCAAAACAGACCACAAGGTCAGTATCAGCAGTAGGATAAAAAGCCACCATTAGAAGAGATGTTTGAAAAGTTCATGGTAACAACTAATCAGTATATGGAAACCAACAACCAGTTTATGCGAAAGACAGATGCAACTCTTCAAGACAAAAGTACAGCAATCAAAAATTTGGAGACACAAATGGGATAAATAGCAATCTCCATGACGGGTAGAGCGCCAGGAAATTTACCCAATAATACTGAAATCAACCCTAAGGAGCACGCAAAGGCTATAACAACCAGAAGCGGAGTACAACTACCGGAGATACATGTAAAAAGATCGATAGCTAGCAGGGAATTAGCACCAACCGCAGATGACGAGATTGTGGAACAGACTGAGCAAACAACAGGGGATGTGGTCAAGAAGAATTCCAATACATCACGAGGTACAGCTACCAATCCTGTCAACCCTCATGAGCCTCCTATTCCATTCTCACAGAGGTTGAAAAAGCACAAATTGGATCAACAATATAGTAAGTTTCTTGAAATTTTCAAGAAATTACACATCAACATCCCATTTGCTGAAACACTTGTTTAGATGTCAAGTTATGCGAAATTCCTAAAGGATATCCTCTTCAACAAGCGAAAGATAGAATAACATGAAACAGTGATGCTAATTGAGGAATGCAGTGCCAAAATCCAGAGAAAGTTGCCTCCAAAACTAAAGGATCCTGGGAGTTTTACTGTACCTTGTACTATTGGGAATTGTCATTTTGATAAAGCATTGTGTGACTTAGGTGCAAGTATTAATTTAATGCCTCTCTGTTTTCAGGAAACTCAGCTTGGCAGAAACTAAAGCTACAACAGTTACATTACAGTTAGCAGATTGATCCCTTACACATCCAAGAGGGATCATTGAAGACGTATTGGTAAAAGTGGAAAAGTTCATATTTCCAGCCGATTTTCTTATCTTGGATATGGAGGAAGATAAGGATGTTCAACTTATATTGGGGCGACCTTTCTTAGCTACTGGAAGAGCGATTGTTGATGTTCAGAAAGTGCAGCTTATATTGAGGCTTGGCGAAGAGCAAATCTCGTTCAACGTGTTCAAAGCAATGAAATTCCCTACTGAGTGAGACAGCTGTTTCCAGATCGATGTAATTGATAGAATAATTCAAGATACATTTCGGCTACATCATTCTTCAGATGCATACGAGGCGTGCATTGCTCATTCTCAATCCACTCACACTGATTCGAGTGAGATTGAAACATGTGCACAATTTTTGGAAACTAATCCGCGTACATGCGCAGACGTTACTTCGAAGAGTTGGGAATTAGGACTACAAAGTCAGTGTCATCTATTCAACAACCTCCCAAATTGGAGCTCAAGCAACTGCCACCACACCTTCGATATGCTTACCTGGGGAAATCTTCTACACTACCAGTTATTATTTCAAGTACTGTCAGTAAGGTGGAGGAAGAGAAACTACTTCGGGTACTAAGGGAGAATAAAACAGTCATTGAATGGTCGATTGCAGATATCAAGGGGATCAACTCGTCGCTATGCATGCACAAAATATTCATGGAGGAAAAATTTAAACCAAACATTGATGGTCAGCGGAGATTGAATCCACACATTAAGGAAGTGGTTAAGGCTGAGGTATTGAAGTTGCTCGATGCAGTCATCATCTATCCAATATCAGATAGTGCATGGATCAGTGCAGTACAAGTTGGTCCCAAGAAAGGGGGTATCACAGTGATAGAAAACGAGAAAAATGAGTTGATTCCTACACGGATAGTGACTGGATGGAAAGTTTGCATCGATTATTGCAAGCTAAATGCTGCTACTAGAAAGGATCACTTTTCACTACCGTTCATTGATCAGATACTGGAGAGACTAGTAGGGCATTCGCATTGCTGTTTTATGGATAGGTATTCTGGGTATAATCAGATTCCAGTAGCACCTGACGATCAGGAGAAGATAACTTTCACTTGCCCCTACGGTAACTTTGCATACCGAAGGATGCCGTTTGGTTTATGCAACGCTCCAGCAACTTTTCAGCGCTGCATGATAGCTATCTTCTCAGATATGATTGAGAAATTCATCGAGGTATTCATGAACGACTTCTCAGTGTTCGAGTCTTCGTTTGATGAGTGCTTGGAGCATTTGAGTCTTGTGCTACAGCGGTGTACAGAGACTAACTTGGTATTGAATTGGGAGAAATGCCACTTTATCGTACAGGAAGACATCGTGCTAGGACACAGAATCTCGACAAAGGGTATTGAAGTGGACAGAGCAAAGATTCAGGTAATCGAGAAATTACCACCATCTACATCAGTGAAAGGTGTTCGTAGTTTCCTCGGGCATGCCTGTTTCTACAGAAGGCTCATCAAGGATTTCTCAAAGATTACTAAACCATTGTGCTGTTTGTTGATGAAGGAATCCACATTTGAGTTCATGGATGAGTGTCTGCTGGTTTTTAACACCTTGAAGGAGAAGTTGATTTCAGCACCCGTGATCATTACACCGGATTGGAATCTGCCATTTGAATTAATGTGCAACGCCAGTGATTTTGCTGTTGGGACCGTCTTGGGACAACGAAGAAATAAGATATTTTACGTGATTTACTATGCAAGTAAGACCTTAAACAATGCTCAACTAAATTATGTCACTACAGAGAAAGAGCTCCTGGCCGTTGTCTACGCCTTTGACAAATTTCGATCATATCTTGTGGGGTCAAAGGTCATAGTTTACACAGATCATGCTGCCATCAAGTACTTAATGGAAAAGAAGGATGTAAAGCCACCTCTCATTTGTTGGATACTGTTGTTTCAAGAGTTTGAGTTGGAAATCAGGGATAAGAAGGGCAGTGAAAACGTGGTGGCAGACCACTTATCTCGACTCGAGGCCACAGAACAGACAGAGACAGTGGAAATCAACGAAGTCTTCCCAGATGAACAGATTTTTGGTATGGAAGAGGCACCCTTGTATGCGGACATAGTTAACTACTTGGCCAGGTCTATCATGCCGCCTGATTACTCCAGTCACTAGAAGAAGAAATTTTTCTCTGAATTGAATATTATTTTTGGGAGGATCCCATTCTATACAGGCGGGGGGCTGATCAAATTGTTCGTCGCTACGTACCTGAGGAAGAGGTGCCTTTGATATTAGAACATTGTCATTCATCTACATATGCAGGACATTTTGGTACTTCGAAAATAGCGACGAAGATCATTCAATCAGGTTTTTATTGGCCTACACTATTTAAGGATGCTTCTGAATTCGTGAAAAGGTGTGACCGATGTCAACGCACCGGTAATATATTCAGGAGAAATGAAATGCCTTTAAACAATATCCTGGAGGTGGAACTATTCGACGTCTGGGGGATCGACTTCATGGGGTCATTTCCCCCATCCTTCTCTAATCAGTACATATTAGTGGCTGTGGATTACATATCGAAGTGGGTAGAGGCCGTTGCATTGCCTACCAATGATGGGAAGGTGGTGATTGAGTTTCTAAAGAAACATATTTTTACCCGCTTTGGAACACCGAGGGCTGTAATCAGTGACGGGGGTAAACATTTCTGTAATCGTCAGTTTGAACAATTGTTGGCTAAATATGATGTTAAACATCGTGTAGCCACTGTATATCATCCCCAAACTAGCGGCCAGGTCGAAGTGTCCAATAAACAATTGAAGCGAATACTCGAAGTCACAGTAAGCTCGTCACGAAAGGATTGGTCTAAGAAACTGGACGACGCCTTGTGGGCCTATAGGACTGCATTCAAGACCCCTATAGGAATGTCACCATATCGACTGGTTTTCGGGAAAGCATGCTACTTACCTCTTGAGATAGAACATCATGCTTACTGGGCAATGAAGAAATTGAATTTGGATTTGAAGGCTGAGGGTGAAAAACGTCTCCTACAACTTAATGAGTTGGATGAGCTCAGAATGAAAGCTTACGAGAATTCAAGAATCTACAAAGAGCGCACCAAGAAATGACATGACATGCACATTCAGAGACGTGAATTTACGGTGGGGCAGAATGTGCTACTCTACAACTCTAGGCTTAAGCTGTTTCCAGGAAAACTGTGATCGAGGTGGTCTGGTCCGTATACTATTACACAAGTTTTTCCACATGGGGCAGTTGAAATCACTCACGACAGCAAGGGGACATTCAAAGTCAATGGACAATGGTTGAAGCACTATTGGGGCGACGATTTTTCAAAGAAAAAATCTACCGTTCATTTTAGACCATCAGAATGACGCGATACGGTAAAGTCGAGCTATCGACTATAATCTAGTGCTGGGTGGGAGGCAACCCACTGTATCCTTCTATTAGCTTATCTTTCACATTATTTTTAGAATTATTTCATTTTCGCATTTGCATTTTTTTGGTCATCGATCATACATGCATGTTAATTGGATCGAATTATCATCCCCATAATTTTCTAGGCATTACACACATGGTAGGTGAGTTTGAAATGATTTTGGATGTTTGGGAGCATGATTCACGCTTTTCTAGATAAAAGAACGTTTTTTTTAAAAAAAAAATTTTGGTTCATGCGATCTCATAGATTAGTACTATGCGGCCGCATAGTAGATCTCGATCATGGTTTTAAACCATGACCGAGCCATTCCGTCTCTCATTTTCCCCTCTTTTGCCTCACACACTCTACACTTCACACACCACATTCCCACACGAATCACACCCTTACTTCACTCCACTCCCCATCATCACCCCCATATATCGACATTCCACGTCTCCATAGTGACTTCAAGGTGAGTTCGTTTTCCTTTTACCTCTATGCTATTTTCCTTTACTTTGGTTCGTCATGCGACTTTACTCTTTGAACTTGTTTGTGAAGAATGGGCATTAGGTAGTTGTTGGATTTGTGAATGTTGAACTTGGATTGTGTTTTGGATTGGTGGCACATCACATTTTAGGTATTTTGTAAGATTCCAATGCATGAATGTTACATGTTCGATAAAATGCCCAATCGAGCTTTGTGGTGTATTATGTGATATCTCGCATTTGTTATTCAAAACATGTACACTATCATGCACATTGCGATCAAATACCATAAAAATTGAGCTCGAAACACTCACATACCAACCACACGCATGTGGGCACACGCACTAGGCCCATGTCACTGCACCCACTTCGTCCCCTGCGTTCAGTACCCATACGACATCCAATGAACGTGAAAGTTGAATATGTGTTACTCTACATTACATACTTTCATGTGCCCAGCGGTTGCTCAGGAAAAATTCAAGTTTTCTCGATGATGTCCGGGGGCGAAAGCGCACACTTAATCACGAGTAACTTGATTCATTTTGGTTGTTCGGAACTCCTGTTGTGTGTAACTTGTTATTTTGCCTTCCTTAGACGTTCTTGAGAGTATCTTTTCTTGACATTTGCATGTTACCACATTCACGACCACTTGAAAGACCATGTATCACATCACATCCATTTTGCAACGCGTAGGCACATGGCTAGGTCACGGCACCCTACGTCCCATACTTTACACCATTATATAACTGACCAAACGAAGTCCATTTGCTTTGAAATTTGAATATGTGGTAAATCTCATTGAATACTTTCATATGCCTGGAGTTGCCCGAGGAAATTTCGATATTTTTCGATGATGTCCGGGGCCGAACATGCGCACTCAGTCATGGGTCCAATTTTTAAAATGTGCTTGTTTCGGCCTAAATTTCTAGTTTTTCACCTTGACATTCTCTTTACACTACCTGCTTTGTCATATTTTGATAAGTGCCCACCAAGGTGTTCTATATGCATGTTGTAGCAAGTTTAGGGGATTTGTGAACTATTTGTCTCGCTTATCAAATTTCCCTATCGTTTTTTTAAAAAAAAACCTGCAGTTACTGACTATTATTTCTATACCTTTGCAGGATGCCTCCAAAGTGTACATCAAAATGAAAAGAGAAAGTTGGTTCCACATCTGGTACAGCCCAGACTAGGGAACTCGAAGGGGGTGTCCGGCGTTTTCTTTCTTCAGACCAAGCAGCCCGCTATGCCAATGTTGTCCGAGAATGGGCACTCATCTCCGAGAGACCAATTAAGTTGAATGATTTCCCGGGTTTTGAATTGGGTTATTTAGTCCACAACTGCGGGTGGGAGAAAGTGATTGAAAGACCACACATCGTCTATGAAAATTTGGTGCAGGAATTCTATGCAAATTTCAATGCTGATATAGACACACCTGGATTCGACCATCTGCATCAGACATGGGTTCGAGGCAAATGGATCATTTTTTCACCTGAGATAATACATGATTACTATCAGCTCACCTGGACTAATGTAGTCCCAGTCCCGCATGATTTCAACTGGGTTGAAGTTACAGAGGTTTTATTGGGACGTGAAAATGCTTGGCCGCTCCCTACTGCTTATTGGTATCAGATTGATCTCACTCCTTCTATAGCCATCCTATGTTGTTTATTTGCCACAACATCGAGCCCATCTCCCATAGGACGACATTCACAGATCAGAAGGCGGGTTTCATCTACCACTTAGTTCAGAGTAACAAGATTGATTTGGCCACTTACATTTACAATCAGATACACGTTATAGGCGCATGGGGTGACAGGCACACATCACTGATATTCCCAAGCTTGATAAGTGGAATTTGTAGAGCTGCCGACATACAAGTTCAGCCAAGGGAGGCACCGGAGAAACCAAGTCCATTTATCAAATGCCTCACGCTCGAGGCCCAGGACCGCGCTAGAATTAAACATCAACAGAAATTGGACAACGAACGTCGGCGACAGCAACAGGCTGCAGAGGGGCCAGCAGTTGAGGACCTTGAAATGCCACAGGCTCCACCACCACCGACTAACGTGGACACCCAATTATTGCGGCAGATGTTTGCTACTATGACTGGACACGGCCGAGACATGCAGCAGCTTCAGCAATCTTTTGGGGCACTGACTACCACCATCCAGCAGGTGCAGATGGATATGGCATCTACACGAAACTTCGCGTCCACTTTCAGCATTGAATCCATCACAGCATGCCGACAGATGAGTACCTTTGACGGGCGTCTGGACATGTACGTTGGCCGGATGGACGATATACAGTGGCGGGTAAACGAGTCTTGGGACCGTCTAGGGAGTTTGGAGACGAGAGTTCAGGTCATGCAGATGG